TGTATACTGTTTGATAGTGGAGCGGAGAGGAGTGTCGTGAACCAAAACTTTGCTCATTTACTTAAGCAAAAATCACGAGCACTTAAAGAACTGTTCACTGTAGAAATGGCTAATGGAAAGACGGAGAGCACTAGTAGCATAATCATAGGGTGCACCCTAACTCTAGATAGCCATTCATTTTCGATCGACCTCATGCCGGTATCAATTAAAAGTTTCGACGTCATTATCGGTGTGGACTGGTTGAGTCTACATCGTGCCGACATCTGTGTTATGAATAGGCTGTTCGCCTTAATCTACCGTCTGGCGAAACTCTGGTCGTTTATGGCGACAAACCCGGCACGAACCTTCGTATCATTTCGAGCATTCAAGCCCAGAAATTCTTGCGAAAGGAATGTCGCGCATTCCTTGCTCATGTGGTCGATGTGAGCCAAGAAACGAAGGACATTCAGAACATTCCAGTAGTACGCGACTTTCCCGACATCTTTCCGGAAGAACTCCCAGGATTACCTCCGCAACGTCAAGTCGAGTTCAGAATCGACTTAGTCCCAGGGGCTACCCCAGTAGCCAAATCGCCCTATCGTCTAGCACCTGCAGAGATGCAAGAACTGTCCTGTCAACTTAACGAACTGCTCAGCAAGGGCTTTATAAGACCAATCTTCTCACCCTGGGGAGCTCCAGTCTTGTTCGTCAAGAAGAAAGACGGATCGTTTCGTATGTGCATCGACTACAGGGAGCTCAACAAGCTAACAGTCAAAAATCGTTATCCTCTGCCTCGTATTGACGATTTGTTTGACCAACTTCAAGGGGCAAACTTCTTTTCAAAAATCGACTTAAGATCCGGATATCACCAACTACGAGTGCTAGGGGAGGATGTTCCGAAGATAGCCTTCCGAACTCGTTATGGGCACTACGAATTCGTAGTGATGCCGTTCGGGTTAACAAACGCGCCCGCAGTATTCATGGATTTAATGAATAGGGTGTGTCGTCCTTACTTGGATCAGTTCGGACACTTCCTGCCTATCTAAGAAACAGACAATATGGAGAAGCTTACAAGAACCTACATTCGGGAGATTGTACGACTGCACGGTGTTCCCATATCCATTATCTCAGACAGAGATAGTAGATTCACTTCAAGGTTTTGGCAGTCGCTACAAAGTTCCCTAGGAACTAGGCTGGACATGAGTACAGCCTATCATCCACAGACCGACGGACAAAGTGAGAGGACTATCCAAACCTTGGAAGACATGTTGCGAGCCTGTGTGATCGACTTTGGGAAAGCATGGGATACTCATTTACTCCTTGTCGAATTTTCCTACAACAACAGTTATCACACAAGCATAAAGGCTGCTCCATTCGAAGCCCTCTATGGCCGAAAGTGCAGATCCCCTCTGTGCTGGGCTGAGGTGGGTGATACCCAGTTAGCTAAAGGACGAGTTCCTGACAGCACTCTCACGGGTCCGGAGATCATTCGGGAAACGACAGAGAAGATCGTTCAGATTCGTGAACGATTGAAATCCTCTAGAGACCGACAGAAAAGCTACGCAGATAAACGAAGGAAACCGTTGGAATTCCAGGTGGGCGACCGTGTTCTATTGAAGGTCTCACCCTGGAAAGGCTTGATACGCTTTGGAAAGCGTGGAAAGCTAAATCCAAGATACATAGGGCATTTCAAGATTCTCGCTAGAATCGGCCCTGTAGCTTACAAACTTAACTTACCTCGTGAACTCAGTAACGTACATTCTACTTTTCACGTCTCGAACTTGAAAAAGTGTCTGTCCGACGAGACTCTTGTAATCCCACTCGACGAGATCAAGATCAACGAGAGCCTCAACTTCGTGGAAGAACCTGTAGAAATCATGGACCGGGAGGTCAAGCAAACAAAGCAAAGTCGCATCCCGATAGTGAAGGTTCGCTGGAACGCCAAGCGAGGACCTGAATTCACTTGGGAGCGTGAGGATCAAATGAAATTGAAATATCCTCATCTTTTTACTTAGTTATTTGTAATAACTTAATTGCTTAAACTCTAATTTCGGGACGAAATTCTCTCTAACGGGGGGATGATGTGACAATCCGAAATTTTTTATCTTATACACTTATTCAAAACAATGAAGGTCAGACTCGTTTTTGCTATCTTCTAGCACTATTTAGAGACAATTAGAGTGTTTAAAACCTAGTATAATCAAGGTATGAGTCGTGGGATGAGATTTTGTGAGTGTAACACCTTGCAAATGAGCCAAACACACCAACACAAGGTGTGTGCGGCCGCACACCCGAGTGTGCGGCCACACACACATCCCAGCCGCACACTCTCACATATATATTCAACACTTAGTCATTTTGAACATTTTTTCCACTTCTTCAAGACTAGAACCCGAAATCCCCTCAAGTATCATCCAAATCTTCATCTTGTTCTTCATAAAAGTAAGTAATTCTTCCTTTTGATTTGTTGATACACGACCCTAACTAGCAAAACCCTTTGCTTTGATCCATGAAAACATCCATCTTTAGTCAAGAACACCAAGAACACCAAGAACACAAAGAACACCAAGAACACACACTAGTTTTGGACCTTAAACACCCTTTCAAGCCTCTATAACGTGTATACACTTATCACAACTTGTTATATGCTAAGAACACTTGATGATATACTAGAAAAACACGATTTTATCATCTTCATAAAGGGTGTGCGGCCGCACACACCATGTGTAGCCGCACACACACTTTTTAGGTCCAAAAATGGCAACGAACTCCATATAAGGCTAAAGCATGAAGTAAGAAACCTTCCTAGATGAGTCCTAAAGCCTTAAAATACATTTTGGCACATTTCATAGGGAGTGTGCGGCCGCACACACACCCTGGCCGCACACCCTGGCCGCACACACACAAATATTGTGCATTTTGACCGTACACTACCTTGTATAGCCATATACCCCTTATATACAACCATAGGTGTTGGTAACACTTAATTCTAAGTGTTTTTATGTCCTTAAGGCGTGTCCCTATCACTTTTAGTGGTTATATACATTGAATGTATTCATATATGTGTAATTATATGTTAAATAGGATTCGTTTGTGCTCAAGACTCCAATTGACACCCAACAATCCTATATCGATCTTTCATTCGAGTTACTCACTACAGGTGAATTCATACCCCTTAATCAACCTTTTAATTGATTTTAAATGCTTTTACGTGGGGGGAATACAAGTTGAACTATTATAGTTATTATATCAATCACATGTGATTAATAACTACCAAACAAGTGGATTTCCTTACTTTTCAAACTCTATTATCAAACAAACTACTTCAAACTGTTTTACAAACACTTTTGCCTGTCGAATACTTTCTATTCAAACTCTTTTAAACTTATACTTTGTCAAATGTGTATCTATATAGATATAGTTATATAAGTAAGATTGAAAGGACTTAGGACTGATAGCTCGCCTTGCTTCCTGTTCCTTGTTTGGTTGTGGACTTAGGGTATCGGTTATTTGTCCGAAGGTCATTTGAATCTTAGTTATATATTATGTATATGTGTATAGATATAAAAGTTCCTTCATTCTGTTCAATATCTTTGGGTAGCAAAGGTATACAAACATGTTCATACATACAAACAACATTACTAGTAAACTATAATAGGTATAGTTTAGGAAGTTACAATACTATTACTAGAACAGTGAAGCATACAATGAGTCAGTTCATACATGAGTCAATACATTCAGATAGAGAATACTATGACGAGAAACAAACAATAACATACAGAGAGAACATACATACATACTAGACAGAGAGAGAACATATAATACAGCTACTACATACTATACATTATACAAGAGAACACACTATTATGAGAAACAGAGAGAACATACGTACATACTAGATAGGGAGAGAACATACAATACAGCTAGTACACATAATTCATATATAAGAACATTACAACAGTTATGTGAGCCACGTAACGGGGCATGGCATCACCTGTCATGGCTCGTTTTGTATCCAGAATCTCCTTAAGTTGAGAGCGTTGAGTTTGTGTATAGATCTATACTGGATTGACTATCCTACACCTTGCTGCTCGCTACAGTGGGACTTGCAAGTCTACAGGTGCCAAACGTCATTTCTTCCAACGTCTTACATCGTCGTGTTTCTAGTCGGTAGTATGGTACAGGCCGATCACATGGTACTTTAAATAACAATTGGTTTAAAGTAGTTAGTAGCAGTAGTTACTTAATACAACACTACAGTACTATTTTATTTCCCCATTGCATTCACTTTGTGATCTTCACAAAATGAACAGTAATGTAAAAACTATATTTTTGGTTAATTATAGTCAGATTTGGGAAAATACATACTCTTAAAATAGACACACACACAAACACTAGATGCCTTGGTAGAAGGCTACTTTTAGTAGAAAACATAGGGTTTTCTAGGAGAGTTCAAACAATTACAAACATTTTACAAACTTATACACTACATACTTACAAACACTTTAATACAAACAATGACACTAAAATACTTATGATCTCACCAGCTTTAAAGCTGATAAACTCTTTCAAAATAACTTGTATTCTCAGGTCACCAGTAGACAGGTACCAGTGCCAGGTTTGAGAAGATGGAGCTCGTTCAAGACTCATCTTTTATTTTGATTCATATTTTTGGTGTCTATTAAACTTGACAGAACACACTTGTATTAAATTATATTATTAATGCAATGGATGATGTTGTTGCTTGTTTACTACTATACATTGTTGTGATACTGTACATGACGTCCTCCACCCCCGAACGATTCCGCCGTTTCGGTTTTGGGGTGTGACACATCCCATGCAAAAACTACGTTAAGTTGACAGGTTTTTCTAAAGTGTTACCCTCTCCATTCTTTCCCAATAACTTGGGTTGCCAATTTTTTCTTGATGATCCTTTCACTCTTTTTCCTCCTCTTAACCTGGGGAATTACAACATTACCCCTCTCCCTTGTCACTTGTGTAGTCCCACTCTCCCTAATACCTTATGTATCCCCACATTTCATTCTTGTCCTACTTCCACTTGCCACTTCTACAACCATTTTCTTCACATTTTCACCCTATTAAATGAAACATAATTAATAACAAATTAAAAAATTAAAAAATAAGAGTTTGTATATACCTTTGTTGTCTTAGTCCTCTTAACCCTACTACCATGTGTATCCCTACCATCCATTCCTGTCCTACTACCACTTGCCACTTCTACACTCATTTTCTTCACATTTTCACCCTTTTAAATGAAACGTAATTAATAACAAATAAAAAAATAATAAATAAGAATTTTTATTTACCTTTGGTGCCTTAGTCCTATTAACCCTAGTTGTTAACTTGTTTGGTCTTGACCTATCAACATTTGGACATGTCTTCTTATTATATCCTTCCACTTTGCACAAACTACATGATATCTTCTTACCCTTCTTAGAAACTCTATGCTTTCCACCCTTTTCACTCACATCTCTAACTCTTTTAGTTTTTTGCCTACCAGGCATCCTTCTATTCTTGGGGGGTAAAGGTGGAATGTAATTAGTTTCAGGCCACATCTTGCTTCCATTCATTGGACAAATTTTGGACTGGTAGGTCTTCATATACATTGCTCTAACAAAATAAGGATCCACATATTTCTCCACATCTTTATTGAGGTAGCTAATGGCAGACACAGAATGAACACACCCATAACCATTAAGTAGCCACATCCTGCATGAACATGTCCTCATGTCTAAATCAACATCATATGCCTCACTTCTTGACCTAGTCTCAAACTGGTTGAGTCCACTTGGCAATACCTCCCAAAACCTTTGATTAAGCTTTAACTCATTCAACCTCAGCCTTATTTCATATGAAACATCACTTGACCATCCATTAAGTTTTGCTGTGAACAGCTTGTTCATCATATACATTCTCAATTCTTCAAGCATTGTGATGATAGGTTTCTTCCTGGCTTCAACTATGACTACATTGAAACTTTCACATCCTCTATTCTCCATACTAGAGCAACATCTACCAACTTGATAGTAAGCTCTTAACCATGTTCTAGGGTCCTTCTCTATCAAGTAGTTACTTGCCTCTGGACTCATAAGCTTAATATCCTTCATTATTTCCTTGAAAGATTGTTCTATTGTTGCATTAAATGCAGACCAAAACTTGTTAACAAACTGTGCCCCTAGAAACTTTTTATTGAATTTGGCCACAATGTGCCTTGCACATTGCCTATGCTCAGCTTGTGGTAATAATTCTTTGACAGCTTCCATAAGACCCTATAGCAACATACAAGTAGTTAGAAATGAATTGGGTAATATACTTTGTGAAAGAGAAATAATAAAATGTTTTTCTTACTTTGTGTTGGTCTGACATAAAAGTTAAACCTTGTCCCATACCAAGATTGATATCATCACTTAACAATGACAGAAACCATTTCCAGTTTTCCTTGTTTTCAACACATACCACTGCCCAGGCAATTGGGTATATTTGGTCCCCAACATCTCTCTCCACAACACAAAGCAACTCACCAGTAACATACCCTTTCAAAAAGCAACCATCAATTCCAATCACCTTCCTGCACCCTTCTAACCACCCATTCTTTACACCATCAAAACAAACATAATACTTACTAAAGTGATTAGTTCTATCTGGCATTGTAAGAACATCCATGCTGACTGTTGAACCAGGGTTGGATCTTCTAATTTCCTCTCCATAAAACCAGAGCTTAGCATAATGCTCAATAAGAGTACCTTCAACATCGATAAACACTTGATAATCCATTTTGTTAGTTATTACCCTAAGACCATTTGCTATAGTGAGATCATGTGCTGAGTAATAAAGTTTCTCAAAAGGTTCTCCAACAAATCTTTCTAGAAATTCACAACACCCATGTAAATCCATTCCAGAGAAATCATGATCAGTAAACATGAACGTTTCACCTCCAGTGTATCTATGTGGGTGTCTTGTAAAAACACCGTTATAGTGTAAATGCACTTTCAAGAAAATAAGGTCTGGGTACGCCATGAACTTTAACTAGAAAAGAACCAGATGAACTTTAACTATAAAAGAACCCTAGACGAGAGAAAACTTACAGAAATGGGAGAGAAAAGCCCTAGAATCTTGAACACTTCAACACGATTTTGATAACCGACTGGAGTAAAGCCATTTTTTCAATAGTTATACCAAGGCGTTGACATGTCATTGATAAGATGCCATTTAATTGAAGAAATCTAAAATCTAAAAGCCATGCCACATTTAATTACCGGGTAACCAGTTTTAATGGTATAAACGACAAGTAATTTGTCACTTTAGTGAGGTAAGAGGTATGAAAATTAGTTGAAGAACCTTTTAAAACCAAACGGAAAACATCATTGTGTTTCTATGTCAATAACCCTAATTTAAAAGCACATGTGTGAAGTTATTACAAAACTATTTCTTTTTTACTATTCTTTTTAATTTTCTCTTAAAGTGAATGAGTTTTCTAACTAGTATATATGTTTGTTATAAGGAACTACACATAAATTGTTTTTAGTTGAGGAAATTAATTGTAGACAAGGATTAAATCGATTAAGAAACTAATAGTTATTTTATTTTGAAACTTGAAGTAAAAATGCATAAATATATAAAATATATACCAAAATACATAAAAATATTTAAAAATATATGTAAATACATAAAAATATGTTTATATGTTTAAAAATATATAAAAATAAATAAATAAAACTATATAAAAAACTTAAAAATATATAAATAAGTAAAAATATATAAAAATGTAAAAACTATTTAAAAACTACATATAAATATGTAAAAAAATACGTTTATACATTATATATAAATTTTGAAGAAATCTATAGAAAAATCTCATTATTTTAGGAAAATTAAAAATTAAGTCTCATTAATTGCTGAACATGTTAAAATAGCTAAAATAAATAAATTAGATAGTTTTTTAGACTTTTCTATTAAGAAAGAACCTTTAAAGATTTTATTATTAATTTTTCTAAAATAATAAAATCTTTCGGCGGATAAATTTTAAGAAAAACCAACTTGTATTCATGAATGAAAGCAAAAATATTTTTAATAGAATAATAAAAGATTAGAGATTTAAAAATTATGTCTGGTGTATTTCTTTATACACAGGACATTTGTATAAAGATATAATATATTTTTTTCTATAACCACATGTTTGATGATAAGGTTTTTAGACTTTTTGAGAACTTTTAACAGTTTTTTCAAACTTGAACTTTTAGCTGTTAAAAAGAAACTATAAATAAAAATAAAACTTCGTCGTCTTAGAGTACAATTTGCAGTTTTTATTTTAGAACAAAAAATTTGTAATCTAGAAACTTGTTGAACCAACATTTAAAGAAAATCTCATGCCTATTATCACGAAATTAGGAGGCTGCCTTTAAAAACTCATGTATTATCTTATATAATTTCACAATATTGAAAAGCTTAGACATTTTTTTTGACAAACTTTACTAAACAAATAAAAAAAAATATAACTTTCAGCTCCAAATAAAAATTATAACTTTCAATTTTTAAAAACTATATTTACCCAAAATAGCCAAAGACTTTTGGGTGTCACTTTCGGTTATACCACCCTCTTTGATAAAAAAATGTAATGACTTTTTACTCATTAAAAGTCTTGGATCCTTTTCATATCATGTGAATTGAATTTTAGAAGTATTTGTCTATTTGATAAAGTTTGAAATTGAATTTTACATCTTAATCCTAGAAAATGATATTATTTTTGTAAATAAATAGGTAATTATTTTTATAATCATTTTGAAAAAAAGGTCGTAATTGATGATTTAGAAAACAATTTGTGAGTATATGATGATTCAAATGGTTAGAAGTATTTTTACAATAATTGTTTCAATATAATGAGTTAAGTTCCATAAGTTAAATTTTATATTGTTTTATATTTAATTTGATTTATTACCCCCTTAGGCCAGACGAAGTGGACTCGAGGAGCTCAACAAGTTCCAACGTGTATTCGATGTACACTATTCCTCCAACTCGGCATGCCGAGTGGGGAGGGTTAATTTGGCAACCTAGTGTAGATGAGAGAGTGTAATTAAAATTTTCTTTATCACTTTAAAAGAATACCACATTTTCATTGTAACATCCATAAAAATCACAAGAATTTAAACTTTTTAAAACAACCCCAAATCATAGAATGTTTACAAAGTCATTGTTTTCATAGTATTGTTCCATATCAGAGTATCCCATAGATCAAAAGTACATAAAACAGAGGATGTGTGTGGTCACGCTTTCGACTTCTCGCGATCATCCGAAGTACCTGAAACCACAACTAAAAAACAGTAAGCCAAAGCTTAGTAAGTTCCTGAAAAGTACCAACATTTAAACATATAACATATATAACAGAATGTCAGATCCAATCAACCATCGTGTTGGAATACCTCGATCCAATCAACCATCGGCTTGGAATGCCAACATACTATGGGCACAGTCAACCATCGGGTTGGAATACCCGATGTCCAATTAACCTCCGGGTCTAGTCATCCTCAGGATGGAATACCCCAGGTTGGAATGCAATTATACAACAGGTCTAGTCATCCTCGGGATGGAATACCCTCAAGCCCAATCAACCATCGGGTTGGAATGCCCCCAGTCTGTTGGCTCACGCAGAAAGCAGTAAAGCCTCAACAACCCATCAAATATGTGCACATATAATAGAAAAACATGTAATCAGTTGACAGACAAGCAAACAGATCTACAAATCACTAAGCATATCATCGTCCTATCTACATGGATACCGATCTAACATATCATTATGACATGATAACATACTATCACATAACAAGATATCTAATCCAATGGGTCGGCCTTGGTGCCTTCGACCTGTAAGTACAATGAGGAAGACTTACTCACAGACTGGACAAAAGCTGATGAGGTCTCGACTCCGAATCTCAGCTCTAACCATGACCTGTTCAACTAAATGACCAGTCATAATCAAAATCTCAAAATACGCTTAGGTCAAACTTGGTCAAAGTCAAAGTCAAACTGGTCAAATCAACTGAGTCAACCCAGCCGAGTCACCATAGAGTGAGTACTCAGGGCGTACTCCAAATGTACGCTTGGCGTACTCGAATGTTGACCACCATTGGGGTGCTTGACCTCGTACGTGGGGCGTACTCCAGGTATACAGGGCGTACTCCCAGAAGCCGAAAATCTCAATAAGAGCTTAATGGCTTAAGCTCTTACGTCCATCTTTCAGATCCATGGCTAAAATACCCTCATGAATGATAAAGTTTCCAACTTTATGACTTTGCATGTCCATCAAGTGTTTAACTCAACTTCTTAATCCATTAAGACCTTCTAAATGATGCATAGAGCAAAACCAGCCATTTGGAACCCATTTTTATGACTTAATACCCATCCAAAGGTCTGAAAGGACAACTTAATGGGTCAAAAACATGCTATGTTCATGAATCTCCACAATTTGAAAAAAGGACCAAAAATCATTCCAACACAAGATCTAAGTTAAACTTCACCAAATTCAGAACTTGATACCTCAAAATGGTGCCAAAAGGTAGTGTGATCCTGGATCTAAAGAGCTTCACTCCTCCAAGGTGGTCTCTCCTTACTTCCTTTTTCTTCAAAAAGCACAAAACATACACTCTCAAGCTTAGAAATGCTTTACAAGATGGATTAGGGTTGCAAAAACGTATCAAGAGGATGGAGGTTGATGAGGTGAGAAGCTCTACACTTCTATCAAATCACTCTTGCCTTAAAATTTTCCAAACTTAAATCCAAAATTCTTAAAAGGCCCAAAACCGACATTTTACGATTATACCCTTGGTCTTCAAAACGCACACCGAACTCCCGGATCACCCATTCTACATTATCTACACCCAAAGAGGCCTAAATCTCTGCTTCCCCAAGGCCTAAATCCTTATAACAACTGATCTTC